ATGGCGGTGGTCTGTGAGACAATCCAGTGATCAACAGCATGAGCATCAACCTACACAATTGGGATACAATAACATGTGTCAACCCTGTCAACGAGCCTGATCGCCCTATCCCATTAGTCGCCTCTTACGACAAGCATGGGTTACTGAAGGCCAGTTCTAACCCCGATCTCACAGGGTGCCTGGATGAGCAGTGTCCCACATCATAGTGGTGCGGTGTTGCGCTGCGTGATGAAATGTTGGACAAGACACACCTTGTGGTGTACGTTCTACCGTAGTCATGATTGTCTGACAACAACTAAGACTGGGCTTGACAAACCAGTGGACGAAGTCATGAGCATCAATGCAATGTGATTGATGACATGAAGACACGCAGCAGACCTGAAAACTCAGCCTGACAATCTGAGTAGTTTAACTGCCTCTTAACAAGGGGTGGATGGTAGCCTAGTGGTTGAGGTGTTAGCTCATCACGACAAAGTCCTGGGTTTGATTCTACACACTGGCGGGTTGGGGGGTATCCTAGTGGGTAAAGTGTTTGTCCACTCATACAGCAGGGGCGGTGGGGTACCCCAGTGGTTATTGCGTTGGCTTTTCATCCCGAACACCCTGATTCAATTCCCCACATGGGTACAATGTGTGAAGCCCATTTCTGGTGTCCCCAAAAGATGTTAAAATGTGATAATGGGTTGCGAGTCAGTATACTGTGTCTGAGTGAGTGGGGATTCATATTGCTAGCAATAAAACCAGCTTAAGTCTGGGGTACAAACCGCCAAGGTACACATACACTCACTCATGCACCCGCCGGGCATATCAGCAAAATTTTGGTGTTAAACCCAATTTTGGCTTCAATGTGAAGCATTTCTGGTGTACCCTGCTGTGATATTGCTGGAATATTGCTAAAAGCAGCGTAAAACAACTCACTCACTCACTCATTTTGGTGTTCTCTGGCTTCATATTGCTCATATTGCTTCTGCTGTAACAGTATACTCAAACATTCTGGTGACACATTCAAACCCAGGTTCTCACAAGATATGAATTGTCTTGTCCCTACAGATATGAAACACAGCCTTTTGTAGTTATTTTCATTTACTTCTTGGTATATTCTTCATGAGTATCGATTTCTGTACATTTCCACGGCTGATTCATGTTTGCACACTTTATCTACTCATAAAGACTGAATTTCAAACTGTTGATCAATGTGTTAATGTCTGCCAAGCCATTTTATCACAGCAACTGAATAGTTAAAGGTCCAAGTATAGATCATATGTTGACATAGAGCTGAGACTTCTCAGTGCCTTACACTTGCGTGTGTTGTCAATCCGTGTCTAGTGGAGACTGCTGTCTGCTGTCGGTGTTTACATATGTAGACGCTGACATGAGGAAAAACAGATTGTCACCATGTACCTGTCAAGAAGTTTAACCGCCTTGCCAGTATGTTTGATAATGTACAGGGGCGGTGGCCCAGTGGTGAAAGCACTCACTCATCATACTAGTGACCTGGGTTCAATTCCACACAAGGGTACAAGGTTTGAATCCCATTTCTGGTGTCCCCTGACGTGATATTGCTGGAATATTGTACATATGAGCTAAGTTTTGCCAAAATAGAATCAGTCAAACTACTAATATAATCAAATTTGCAATCCACTCAGAGATACATGTTAAGCCTAGGTTATCATGGTTGCAGATCACAGTTTGCCTTGAAAAAGACAATTGGTGAAAATTTGGAAAGTCAATGTTGACTGGCTTAATATGGTATACCAGTGTCTACAGTCTGTTTGGGTTCAAATAAGAAATTGATGAATGATTAAATAACTCAAAATAATTATTGAAACCTCTGTACAACAGGATCTGAAATCTGACGTTTTATTATTGATCATGGAAAGAGTTGTTTAAGAAACTATCATGTAATTTTGTTCAATTTTGACACTTCACACCGAGGGTGACAAACAGCTGGTGGAATAGTTTATTAGTTATGTTTTGTGCACTTATCACTATTTTGAGTTATTTAATCATTCATCGTTCTCATTTGAACCCAAACGGACTGAAATGGAAATGAAATCACACCCACTTTCCCTTAAACTCCAACACATCAATCTCTCACTGTAAAATCAACACTTGCAATCATCTGTTGAAATATACAGAATTTCATCGATAGAACCAATTTCAGTGCAACATTAAACAGCTTCATTCATCCAGGTAATACACGGAGAATATAACCCAAGCACTGTACGATATCAATTATATTATCATGAGTCAGTACTAATTCATTAATTATAAGTTACCCATACCATGAAGTCATTGTCAAACAACATCAGTTATCTTTCTTTCGGTGAAGATGGCCTGATGTACATTTTATAGTCAAAACACTTAATACTTTTGACAAGCTGAAAAAGTTGCAAGGTCGAATTAAGTTTAATGGTAAACAGATTCTCATCTTCAAGTCTTGTTGTTATCAAATTTATCAAGACTTGTTAATAAAATCTAAAATCTCCTCAACAAGCTTTGGTGTTGTATACTTTTTTTATCAACTAGTGCTGATATGTGTGATACTGACAGACACTTGGGTTGAACACTGTATTGTACTGTATTGTACTGTATTGTACTGTGTTGTACTGTATTGCAGCCTCATTGCACTGAGTGACTTCCTTCCCATCTGTCGTAGTAACAAAGAAAGCAACATACAGTAGACCCTACAGGCCTACATTCCACACAATGGATCAGCTAGCCAATGGATCAGCTAGCCAGCAGACAATCTCCAGGATGCGGATGTCTGGGATAGGGGTGTATTTATCTACACAGTCTGGCATTGTTCATAAGTTTGAAATTTGACGTAGAGTTGAAATGCTTCGCACATATAGTCTGTCTCACAGTCCCTGAACCACATTATTTGCCCTACTGCCTAGACTAACAACTAGTCTCTGAAATGAACATATTCTACAGAAAAAAAGTTCATAGTAAAAAAAATATATATATAATGAAAAGGAGCCCTGAGACTTTCTTCATTTTCCTGAAGCTGTGGAAATCTAGACTTGCCACATTTGCTAGACTTGTGTGGGCTTTCTTGGTTATATTTGCTTCAGGGTCTGTATGACAGACTACCTACTGCCTAGCCCTCCCGGCAATGCTAAGGCTCTAAACGAAGCAAGTCTAGGTTTCTGAATTTCCCATCTGACAAGGGCTCCTGTACAATTTAAATGGGTTTATTATACCCCCGCTACGAAGTAACGGGGGTATATAGCGTTCATTCTGTCCGTCCCGAAACTTTGTCTGGAGCATATCTCTTAAAGTTTACATGCTAGGTTCACCAAACTTCACACACATGTTAATCATTACCCATTGATGTGCCTTTTGCTATTTTATAGTTTTTTCAGAATTAAATTTTTTTTTTGTTTCCATGGAAACACGACTTAGTGTGACTATGAGGTTGTCATCTTGTCAGAGCAGATCTTCCAAACTTTACATGCTAGGTTCACCAAACTTCACACACATATCAAGCATGACCCCTAGATGTGCCTTTTGGGGGTAGATTTAGATATGAATTGTATTTTTGCTGTTTCCATGGAAACACGACTTAGGCTGTGACTATGAGGATGTCATCTTGTCCGAGACAGATCTTCCAAACTATACATGCTAGCTTCATCAAACTTGGTACACATATCAAGCATGATCCCTAGATGTGCCTTTTGGGGGTAGATCCAGATATGAATTGTATTTTTTGCTGTTTCCATGGAAACACGACTTAGGCTGTGACTATGAGGATGTCATCTTGTCCGGAGCAGATCTTCCAAACTATACATGCTAGCTTAAAAAAAACTTGGTACACATATCAAGCATGATCCCTATATGTGCCTTTTGGGGTTTAAATCCAGATATGAATTTTATTTTTGCTGTTTCCATGGAAACATGACTTAGTGCCAAATGTGTTTGATTATTTTGTCCGGAGCATATCTCTTAAAGTTTACATGCTAGGTTCACCAAACTTCACACACATGTTAATCATTACCCATTGATGTGCCTTTTGCTATTTCAAAGGTTTTTCAGAATTTAGTTTTTTTGCTGTTTCCATGGAAACATAACTTAGTGCCAAATGTGTTTGATGGTTTTGTCCGGAGCATATCTCTTAAAGTTTACATGCTAGGTTCATGCTAGGTACATGCAAAATGTATTTGATGGTTACCTGACCACGGCATATCATCGAAACTATACATGCTAGGTTCACCAAACTTAATACACAAGTTAATCATGACCCACAGATATGCCATGTGCTAAAAAATAGCAATCTTCATCTACGTCCACTTCATTGTGTGCAACATGAGACAGTCAAGTTCAATTGTATGTCAGGTTTCCACGGAAAACACAAAAAAAATCTAGTTTCCATAAATTATTACTGTAATCAGTACATGCCAAAACTATTATCTAACATGTATGTAAAGTTTAGTAGAGTCAAAGAGAAAGTCTTGTGAGCTGCTGATCCTTATCACATTATATATATCAATATCAGTCATTTCCATGTCCCAAAGTGGGAAGCGGGGGTATGTGAGCTGTGCTCACTTCTACACTTGTTTGTTACTTTCAAAATTATATATATATCTAGGACCAAGCGTTAGTCTATAATTACAAGTGTGTATTTCACTAAGTGGGTATTTATATACAGGCATGGTGGGACTTCAGTGCTGCTTCAGGTATTTGTATGTTTGATCATGGTAAGCTCATGCTATAGTCGGCAAGCATTGACCATATAACATGTCGAACTATAAGCTAATTGTTTTGACAACAACTTAACATGTCTGTCCAACCCTGCTATGTACAAACATATCTTATCTACATGACCTTGAACTTGAAGTGAAAGTAACCCTGCACAGCTGGTTGACCTTTCATCCTGACAGCCTTGCACAGGATCCATAAAGCCTTTTGTGCAGTCAGTGAAAACCAGTTTCTCTTAACACAAATCTGAACTTCAGTAGTGCATAACTCCATACAGTGATATACAGTCCAATATACTCCAGGTATTTCATGGTAGGATGACTATATACTCCATACTGGAAGATAACGCTGAGACTTTGACCCATCAGTGGGCAGGGGCTTGGTGAGCTATATCTGTCTGCATTCACACAAGCATGTGTGTGTGTGTGATTGTGTGCAGTCGGTTGTAGACAAGTGGCAATACAGTCCAAACCTCCGATTTTACCTGTCAGGTCGACCTGCAATTCATGTGACCTATCAGAGTTGATGTTGCGCTGTAAGGCTTGTAAATCTTCACAGACCGTGGATAAATTTAGGGTAGTGAATCCTATCAAAACTTGATAGCAGGATATGTGCACCGAATTAGGGGTTGTGATGTTGACGGTGCTGGATTTCGTTGACTGCCGTTAGCTGTGATTAATCTGTTGTTACCTGTGATAGACTGCCGTTACTGTGATGGACTGTTGTTACCTGTGATGGACTGCCGTTACCTGTGATTAATCTGTTGTTACAGACGCTGTGGAGTAAAAGCAACAGGTTGACATGTGATATCAACGTATAAGATACGAGTCATTCAAGTAGGCTGTAATCAGTTCCAGTCATTCATAAGAGGGTCACAAAATTCTTTTCAAGTTTATTTACTGTTTGTGAATGTGTTATTCAGGAAAGTTTGTGTTGTGATATTGATGATTTCCATATAAGGAAAATGGTTATCAATATTGATTGATAACAGTTTTGAGAGCAGTGAAAGTGTATATGATTTATCACTTACACCTCATTGGGCAGATCTCAAGTGATTGACACATTGTCAGCTGAGTGTTATTGCTATTGATGACAGATTAACAGTGGTGAAAACTGATTTCAAGTATCACGTCTAATTAGAGTCAAGTTTGTATCATTCATCATGGATTATTTATGTGGGACCCGACAGCGCCGATATTCCGATGACCATGTTGCAGGTGAATGGTTTGTTCTGGGATCACTCGTTCCAAGTAAGTACCCTGGATAACATTTGTCATTTTTACACAGCCAAAGCTGAAAAGATTACTATTAGAGCACATTTGCTTCTCTTACATGTGATTGGATGGGCTGGTGATGAGTTTGAATCCCTGTGCCAGATTATGATGCTTAGTGTGTCAGTACCATAGCTCACCTGGATTCTGTTCCATCTCATAGAGGTGAGGGGTGGAGGGTGGCCTAGTGGTTAAAGCGTTCACTCGTTAAGCCGAAGACCCGGGTTTCATTCCCCACATGAGTGCCAATGTGTGAAGTCCATTTCTGGTGTCCCCTGCCGTGATATTGCAGGAATACTGCTAAAATATAACTCGCTCACTCACTCACTCCATCTTGTACGTTAGTGCAATGTCACTTGTAACTCCCATTCTTTAACAATGACTAGAATAACATCTAGTCTCTGAAATGAAAATATTTAAGCAAAATAACAAAACAACCTCCATCAACAACAGTTGTTGAGTTATACTGATAAAACAGAAAGGAGCCAAGAGACTTTGTTCATTATCAAACTGCTGTAATCTGTCTTTCAGTGGCATTTAGAAGTTGTACATTGTCAGTCACCTGATGACGGTCAAAGGTGATCAAGGGTCAGTTCACCTGATGAAGGTCAAAGGTGATCAAGGGTCAGTTCACCTGATGAAGGGACCTGGAATGGTCCAGTAACGTCGTGAGGGAAATAAAAAAGAAGTTTAATCCATAAAAATATGCCGTAATCTATACATGCCAAATATTTTAGACTACCATTTGTGTGTCTCAGGGTTTGGTAAAAATGCCTTATGACATTTGTAGTGCTGTGATTGTTTATTGGAAGGGCCTTTTAGTTTAAACCAAACTAATTAATATCTGAATCAACCCTGTACAGAATTACATCCCTTAGCTGTGTCAGATCAGTGAGGTTTGGGTCAAATCCCTGATTTCACCAAAGTGGTACAGGTTCTGCATCATCCTGATGTGATGTAAGTGAAATATTGTTCAAAACAGCATTAAACCCTCTCGATGAGTGACGATCATACAGTAACTAAATGTACGCCATGAACTGTAGAGCAGCCGTCCTGAGACTCAACTGCTGTAGTTTTCAAGGGAGATCTGACATCCCTCAACTGTTGCCAGAACAGCAGCTGCATGTAGACTGACTGGGCGGCTCTTAGCCAGAGGATTAGACTAACAACTAGTCTCTGAAATGAACATATTTTACTGAAAAAAGTTCATAGTAAAAAAAAATAATATAATGAAAAGGAGCCCTGAGACTTTCTTCATTTTCCTGAAGCTGAGGAAATCTAGACTTGCCACATTTTCTAGACTTGTGTGGGCTTTCTTGGATATATTTGCTTCAGGGTCTGTACGACAGACTACCAGAGGATCAATCTGATCTGCTTTATATGAATTGTATTAACTAAATGGAAGCTTGATGAAAAATGTTACTATACCATTCAGTAAACGGATGTATCAGTGATAAATGCTGTTGAAACCATGAAATACACAGATGCATTATTGCCGATACCATCAAATGCACAGATGCAATAATGTAAATTGTTATTATACAATGAAATTAACTAATGCATCAATTATAAATATTATTATACCATGAAATACACAGATGCATAAATTATGAATGTTATTATAGACTGAAATATACAGATGTATCGATCCTAATTGTTATTATACCATTAGATAAACAGATGCATTCTTCTTTCTGTTAAAGGCACTGAGGTAGCCAAGTGGTAGCTTGTGACACTAAGACCCCAGTTTGATTCCCTATAAGGTTACACTGTCCGAAGACTGTTTCTGGTGGTCCGGACAGGATGTGATTGGCTTTAAATGAGGCGTTAACAAAACAGCAAAAAATCCCAATCATTCACTTCAAAGACAGACTCTGTTTAATGCTCAGGCAGTAAATATCAATGTTCAGGTCAGTGTGTTTCAGAAAATAGTTTTCAGCTTCAGCAAGTCTAGTTGAAGCGAGAACCAGATGCTGAAGACTGGGGATGTTTTTGTTGCTCACCCAGGATGGTCCGGTCTCCTCTAATGAAGGAAACATTGGCGGATATGAACATAATTGAAAAACCACATACATGTGTACATGTTGAGCTGAATTTTGCTTCCGATGCCTTTGGTGCAACTTGATGTAACAGCCTGTATTGTGTTGTCTTGGCTTTCAGAAAAATTAGAAATATAACTCAATTAGTGAAGCCATGTTGGTGTTGTCTCCAGTGGAGGTGATAAATGAACTGGAATGTGTTCACACCTTATTTATCTATTGACTTTATACTTATGCACACACTGGCTTATACACAGGTGATGTGTATTGATTTTGAATCGTTGAAGCACACCTGGTTGCACTTGCAACAATGTAGATTGTTGTTGTATAGTTAAGTGTCCAACTTTGATGTCACATTGGTGTAATATAATTGAATTGGGAATTTTATGAATTTTTTGAAAGACAGGTCTTGAAATATGAGTGTTAGAACTAGCCTTGAGGGAGTTTTTAGGGAGATTCATATGTGGGGGTCGTCTCAAAAGTTGTTTGGTATTTTTTCAAATATGGCAGATATTTGTACTTTGAATTGAACACGTTGAATGTGTTAGTGGAGATTAAGGATAGCTAAATCAGGAAGTGTTTACAGTGGATGTGATCTCAGAAGGGTGAATTATTTTTCTTTCAAGACTGATCATTAACAGAGTTTATTGCATATTTAGGGGTATCTCTGCAGAGTTACAGCCCTTGGCTGTGCCAGGATCTGTTGGTCTTGGATTTGAATCCCAGAGTTGCCCTGTCTTTTGACTGTTGGACTGATGCACCAAATGTGATCTTCTTGGCTTCATCTCTGAGGGGCAGTGGGGTAGCCTAGTGGTTAAAGCATCTGCTTGTCACGCCAAAGACCCAGGTTTGATTCTCCACATGGGTACAATGTGTGAAGTCCATTTCTGGTGTCCCCCGCCATCATATTGCTGGAATATTGCTAAAAGCGGTATAAAATCATACTCACTCACTCATCTACTGTGACGAGTCATCGTTAGTGCCTTTACTCCAACATTTTATGTAGTACTTATGATACCTTTGTTGCTATAAGTCTTACATTCACCTGGTCATGTATCATTGTATTCACCGGGTTATACAAAGTTATATCCACACTCTTATTTCACTCTGAAAATGTGTATATTCACCCAGATATTCTGTCCCACATGTATATTTATTCTGGAACCGGATCCTTTATCCCATGCCCTTTCTGCACAACATGTGCTGTGTTATAGCATATACATTATCTGAGACAGTTTGAACAACGCTAAAATTCATGGTCACAATTTGTTACATGTCAAGCTGGAATATTTATGGTATGGTTGGGGTATATTGAATACCTTGTTGGCTCACGGTACTGGTTGACAAAGAGGTGTTCATGCAGTAGCTTCTCCATGGACGATGACAGCAAGTATCTTGCCGGGGATTTTGACACAACTACTTATGACAGTAAGTCCTTCACTGAACAGTCTTCAAGAGGGTCCAAATGGGAGGGTCACAGTTCAGTAATCAATAATTTGGGGCCTTTATTCTGTAGTCCTGATATCTTAGTGAAAACATTGTGAACAGGTTTTCCTTATATTTAGTCAGTAAAAAGACAGTGAAGTCCATCGTTCATCAAACATGTAAAATTGTCTTGATCAGAATGCAGATGTCAGTCCGTCTGGAGGAAACATTGAAACAGCTTGTTCTGCTTTTTGTTTTGTTAGTTTGTGTAATTCATATTTTGCAAATACCAAACAGTGTCTGCTTTTGTTGTGTTCTGTGCAACTTTCGAAAGATATTTGTCTGAACAAGTTTTGTTTTATGCTAAGTGGTATACCCCATAAAGACCCTCCTGCAAAGTCACAAGGGTGAATCTGAGTTTAGGGTGCTATATGGTATTTAGGGTGCTATATATGGCATGTAGGGTGCTATATATGATATTTAGGGTGCTATATATGGTATTTAGGGTGCTATATATGGTGTTTAGAGAGCTATATATGGTGTTTAGGGTGCTTTATATGATGTTTAGGGTGCTATATATGGTGTTTAGGGTGCTATATATGGTGTTTAGGGTGCTATATATGGTGTTTAGGGTGCTATATATGGTGTTTAGGGTGCTATATATGGTGTTTAGGGTGCTATATATGGTGTTTAGGGTGCTATATATGGTATTTAGGGTGCTATATATGGTGTTTAGGGTGCTATATATATAGTGTTTATGGCTATATATATGGTGTTTAGGGTGCTATATATGGTGTTTAGGGTGCTATATATAGTGTTTAGGGTGCTATATATGGTGCTATATTTAGTGTTTAGGTGCTATATATGGTATTTATAGTGTTTAGGGTGCTATATATAGTGGTGCTATATATATGGTGTTTAGTGTTTAGGGTGCTATATATGTGTTTAGTGTTATATAGGTTTAGGGTGCTATATATAGGGGTGCTATATATGTATTTAGGGTGCTATATATGGTATTTAGGGTGCTTTATATGGTGTTTAGGGTGCTATAACTCTGTCATGTCCAAGACATGCCAGACAGACATGATCATAGGTCACAGTCCCGTAGTTATCCTGGTTGTGTATCTGATACCCACTCACTTACAGTCTTTAAAGGTGTTTCCAGGGTTTCTAGGACTATAGTGATGCTAATGGGTTTCACCACAGAATCATATAATAGATGGTCTGTGGTTTCACCAAGTTCGTAGATGGCAGAGAAATGAATCACTTCAGGCATTGCAGCCTTGACAGAACGGAAGTACTGCTGAAGGTGGCGATAACCAAACTCACTCACTTACTCAAAGTCTTTAAAGTGGTTCTGGCACGACCCTGTGGTTCTGTGTAACATTTAGTCCCATAAAATACTATTGTAGGTCCGTCTCACAGTCTCTCGTCTATATTACTCTCCTTTTCTGCATTGCAAAAACTCTAAATGAAGCAACTCTAGATTTCTCCAGGTACAGAATATCTGACCAT